GGAACATGCCTCGCGCGGGTCGTGCCCAGAGGAGGTCCACCTGCGGCCTCAGTGGGCGTGGTCAGGCGGGGACATCCGAATTATTCGGCACACGCGCGGATCGCGCCCCTCAAGGAGTCCAGCGCACCCGTGCACGCGTGCTCCGCAGCAGCCATCTTTCCGCATTGCCCCGCGGCTCGCATTGTATGAAAAGAGACCCGCGCTCTGCGCTACACATGACTGCGCAATGATGGGTCCGTCGCCGAACAACTTGCTTGTTTATGGGACGAAGCAATTTGGGCCCCATGGGGCACTCTCAGGGCACATCTTGGAGCCTTCTGAAGACGTCTTCGGGGCCTTTTGAACAGCCTTATTCGGACGTCTTCGGCCCTGTCAGGACATTCTGGTCGCTTGTTGGCAGCCTCTGGAGCTGTTTGAACGGCGGGGGGGGAGCCCAGGAAGCTCCGAAAGGAGTCAAAAATGTCGTGGCCAAAAGCGGGGGAAATCCCGCAGGCTGTCCAGGCCCGGTTTTGGTCCTCCTCCCCCTCCTCCTCCTCCTCCTCCTCCTCCATTCCTCTTCCTTATCAATAACTTCTCCCTGCCGCACCCCGAGGCCAATTTTTAGGGCGGTCCGGGCGTTTCGCCTGAGACTTCCGCAAAACTCATGACCCTGAACCTTAAAAATTGGCAACAGATACACATATGGAGGGCGGGTCGTTTTCAAAATGTGGCTATCGCCTTAGCGCCGCGCACATTCGCTTTTGAAATTCGCAAAAGATTCGCGGATCGAGGGCGGCTCCTTTTCAAAATGTGTCTCTCGCCTTACCGCCGTGTACATTCGTTTGTGCGAATTTGAGAAACGTTCTACGGATCCCCATGGTGAGCGCACCAGAACTGGTTTGGAAGGATTCACGAGCTTGCGGGCGCAACAGTTGCCTTGATTCGCGGCGTTGAAATCCCAAGAATAGCTTTCTGACACGATTCAGGACCGTCAAGACGCAACGGTTAGGTTGATCCGTGGCGTTGGAATCCCGAGAACGATGTTTTGGCAAGCGTCAGGATCTTCAAACGGCTGTCTTCCAGCAAGGCAGTTCCCTCAGTGAAAATGAACCTTGCAAGGGCCTATAAAAGGGGGGTTTGGAGGGAGGGTTGATTCCAACATCGTCGATGACTTTTGGGTTTACACGTGGTCCTCCTCCATTCCTTTTCCTTATCAGTAACTTCTCCCTGTCGCACCCCGAGGCTGGTTTTTAGGTCGGGCTGGGCGCTTCGCCTGAGATTTCCTCACCATTTATGACATTGAATCCTAAAAAATAGCAACAGTTCCGGGCGGGAAATGTGGCTCTCGCCTTAGCGCCGCGCATATTCGCTGTAAAGGACTGCACGAGTTTCACGGATTGAGGGCGGGTCGTTTTCAAAATGTGGCTGTCGCCTTAGCGCGGCGCACATTCGGCTTAAATTCGTCAAAAGTTGCAAGAGCTTCACGGATTGAGGGCGGGTCGTTTTCAAACTGTGGCTCTCGCCCTAGAGCGGCGCACGTTCGTTGAAAAAATGCAAGAGCTTCTCGGCTTGACGGCGGTTCCTTTTCAAAATATGGCTCTCGCCTGAGCGCGGCATACATTCGTCCAAAAAAGTTGCAAGAGTTTCACGGATTCCCATCATCAACGTTCCAAAAACAGTGTCTTGAAAGAATTCAAGATTACGCGTGTGCACAAGTTATCTTGGTTCGCTATGTTGAAGTCCCAGGAATAGCGTTCTGACACGATTCTGGATCGTCAAAACGCAACAGCTAGGTTGATCCGTGGCGTTGGAATCCCGAGAACGATGTTTGGGCATGCATCAGGGTCTTCAAACGACTGTCTTCCAACAAGGCAATTCCCTCAGTGGACCTGAACCCTTGTAGGGGCCTGTGAAGAGGAAGCTTGGAGGGAGGGTTTATTCCAAAATCACTGATCACTGATGACTCTTGGGTTTACACTGGTCCTCCTCCTCCTCCTCCTCATCATCATCCTCCTCCTCCTCCTCCTCCTCCTCCTCCTCCGCCGGGAGCCTCCGAGAACCTCCGAAGAGGTCTCCGAATGCTCCCAAGGACTTCTACCCTGAGGCCCTGACAGGTATCGGGAGTCTCTGGAGCTCTCCGAAGCCCTCGGAGGCCCCTGGAAGCCTCCAGGGGCCTCCAAAGACTCCGGAGGTGAGGAAAAGCAAGAACGTACCCAACCCTTTCTAAACAGGCAGCAACAACAGCAACATCAACACCAACACCAAGACCAACAACAACAACAACAACCACAACAACAACAACAACAACAACAACAACAACAAGAACAACAATCATTCTAAGACTATTCGCTCTTACTGGCACGCGTGTCTTGCATTCTGTATACCCTAACACTCGCTACCCGCCCACTTCGTCTTCGATTGCACCCCCTTTTGAAGGGAATATCTTCCTTGTCGGCCACGGACTGAAGTGCGAGGAATTCTCGAGCGAGAACGCCGTTCCTGAGTTCGGGGGCCTCTCTGGCCAGGGGCTCTCGGAATATATATATATATATACATATATATATATACATACATACATACATACATACATACATACATACATACATACATACATACATACATACATATATACACACAATTGGCACGTGTGTGCCCAGGCTCATACAAAAAAACTGAAGGGGCGTTTGAAGCAGGAGTGAAATGCAACAGCGAAGTCACATTCGAGCGCAAGTGGGGTTGCCACACCTTGCGATGTGTGTACCAGGGCCCCCCAGGAAGTCTCAGGAGGCCCGACTTGGATACCAGAAGAGGCTCCAGGAGGCCCCAGGATTGTGAGTGTTGTGTGGGTGTGTGCGTGTGTGTGTGATGTGTGCTCTGTGTTGTGCGTGCTTTTTGTGCGTTGTAGGTGTTGTGTGTGTTATGTTTGTCTAGCGTGTGATGTGTTGGGCGTGATTTGTGTCTCTGTGTGTGCATGTAGTTCTGAGGCCTCAGGAGGCCCCAGGAGGCCCCAGGCGGCCTCAGGAGGCCCCAGGAGACCCCAGGAGGCTTCAGGAGGCCCCAAGAGGCTCCAGGAGGCCGCAGGAGGCCCCAGGAGGCCCCAGGAGGTTGCAGGAGACCCCCAGGAGTCTCCAAGGCGGGGTCTGGGGTACCAGACGGTTCAGAAAGCCCCAGGAGGCCCCAGGAGGTTCCAGGAGGCCCCCAGGAGGCTCCGAGGCGGGGTCTGGGGTACCAAAGGGTACGTCGGGGCTCGATGTTGGGCGGATGTTTCGTGCGAAACCGCCATTCTCTGAGAATCGGGGTCGAAATTATTGAAATTACCGTGTGTGGTTGAAGGTTTTATGTTAAAATGTTGAAATTCCCATATGTGTTGTTGGACCCTGACGTCACGATCTGCGTGAGGGGCGCCGTCAATTTTCAGAATTTCGAGGATGTCCCTAGCGAAACGGCCAGAAAAATCGCGGACGCGGCGGCCCGCGTACGCATCAATCGCCTCTGAGTTCTACTCCCTCGGAGAGGTGCGCATGAGAATATATATATATATATATATATATGGAGAAATATCGAACGGGAACCCTTGTCACCGTGTCTGGGACTCCACCAACTTGTTTGAATTACGAGGACGTCTCGAACGAGAGCGCCACTCTTGTGTTCGGGGGCCTCTCTGGAAAGGGCTTTTGCGAAAACATCTTGAGGATGTATCGAACGAGAGCCCTTGTCGTCGTAGTTGGTCCTCCACCAATTTAATTGAATCACGAGGAAGTCTCGAGCGAGAGCGCCATTCCTGAGTTCGGGGGCATTCCTGGACAGGGGCTCTCGGAGCAAATCGTGAGGAAATATCGAGCAGGAGCCCGAAGTATCCAGCGGAAGCCGTTGTCGTTGTAGCTGGGCCTCCACGGGCCCACATCTACACTCAAGCCAACGTTCGCGCGGGAGCCTCGTTTTCAGAGAAAATGTAGCCGGCGTCGAAGCAAGAGTGCGCGCAACCGCTTCTGGATATCAACAGTAGCTGTTCTCTAAAAATGAATATTCAGCAGCAGCAACAACAACAACAACAATTACTAGCACGTGGGGACACACCGTTCTCACCAGTGCCAGGGTTTTCATAGGAGGCGGGCAATACCCCCACTTTGTGGGGGGGCCGGTTCAAGCTCTACCAAATTTCCAAACGACTCTTCGCCACCACCCACACCCAGCTTCCCGCCCTATGACGTTCGGACACTTCACTTCGTGGCATGCGGACGACCGTGGCTACTATTCAGGGCCCCGCGGCCGACGACGACGGCGTGCGCGCGCGAAGAAAAAACGAATGTGTCCCGCATGGTATTATTTGACAGGGATGATGGCCCTGGCAGGTGCGCAACCGTTGTTGCAGAAGTTCGAAAAAGTTGCTCGCAAAAGCCCGTTTGACAGAAATGATTAAAAAGTGTTGGGTTTCCTACGAATCCGCAAGAGCGCGCGGGATGAAATGTTGACATTTTTTTTTTGAAAAACCATTGGTTTTTTGATGTTTTTATGTTAAAATCGCTACGAAAACTAAGGTTTTGGAAGGATTTCGTCTTGCGCGCGCGAATGTCCACTTTACCTTATTTTTTGCAAGGGATTCTTGAAGTTTGGTTATGTTAGAACAAGAAATGTCCACTTTAGCTTATTTTTTGCAAGGGAAAACCGATCGTAACAACACAACCGGATCCGGACCAACCCGTTTTGCCTGAGACTTCCTCACGAAAATGATGAAAATGAGGCTGCGGCCTAGGCGCGGCGGGGGGGTCGCGCACCAGGGGCCCCAACAATAATTATTCTTTAGAAGTAATAATCTTCAACAACAACGACAAAAACAACAACAACAACAACAACAACAACAACAACAACAAACAAACAACAACAACAACAACAACAACAACAACAACAACAACAACAACCACAACCAACAACAACAACAACGACAACAACAACAACAGCAGCAGCAGCAACAACAACAATGATAATAATAATATGTTTTTTTTGTATATATATATACAGAGGAGAGAAAAAAAAAAAAAAAAAAAAAAAAAAAAAAAAAAAAAAAAAAAAACTATTCGTTCCGATCTGCTCGCGTGCTATTCAACACGCACACCCCGGAACCCGCCCTCTTCGTCTACGATCATGCCCCCCTTGGGGTACATCTTCCTTACCTGCCACGCATATTTAGTGCGGCACCCAAAACAGCGGACGAAAGGGCGGATTGAAGGGGGAGGAAGAAGGATAGAGCAGGAGAGGAACTAACAGGAGGTTGGCTAGGAGCAGAAAACACGTGGCAGACCCAGATGGGCAGACCGGACGGGCGGGCGGGTCGGCAAGGCGGGCCCAGGCGGCCAGGTCGAGCAGGTGGGTTGCTGATGCGTGAGTCCTGCATGAATCGCGAGGAAGTCTCGAGCAATTGTGCGATTCCCAAGTGCATCGTGAGAAAAGCCACAGCGAGAGCGTGATTCCTGAGTGCCGAGGGCGCGGCGTTTGAATAAATGGCGAAGAAGTCCCACGCGACAATGCGATTCCTGCATGAATTGTGAGGACATCCCGCGCGATAGCGCGCTGTTTAATTAAGGTGTGAGGAAGTATCAGGCGGGAGCCGTTGATGTTGTCAAACGGGAGGCCTGGGGCCCAGTTTGGTGACGCCTCGCTATCTCTTGTAAATCATCCTGGCGAAGGTCCCAACCATATGCAGTTGTGGGGTCTCGCATGGGTGGTCGTAGGACTTCACTCCGCTGGGCCTCCCAGGAGCCCACGAAAGTGCAAACGATTGCGCAGATACCACCCACCCAGGAGGCGCGAGGTCTCGATTGGGTGCGCGCGGAGCCCCACTCCGCTGGGCCTCCCAGGAGGGACAGCTGCGCAGATGGCAGCCCCCCAGAGAGAGCCGCGAGATCCCGACTGGCTGCGCGCAGGACACCACCCCGCTGGGCTTCTGAGGACCCCACGAAAGTGGCGACTGCTACAGCACCCCAGGGAGCTGCGGGGTGTCGAATGGGTGCGCGCAGGGCCCCACTTCGCTGGGCCAAGAGCCCACGAAGGTGCGGACATCTGCGCAGATGGCGGCCCCCCAGGGGGCCGCGAGATCTCGACCGGGCACGCGTACTTGGGACTCCGCTCCGCTGGGCCTCCCTGGAGCCCACGAGGAGTGGCGACGGTTGCGCACGTAGGTGGCAGCGCCCAATGAGCCGCGAGAGGGAGTGGGAAGAGGGGAGCGGCAGGGAGAGGAGGGGGAGGAGGAAGGAGTGCTACGCGAGCAGTGCTTCTCCCGAAGCAGGAAGAAGAAACAGAGCACGGGCCATAGCAAGCACCAGCAGAACTGTCCAGGCCCTCGACCCCCGAGGCCCCCCGGACAAAAACATCCCAGGGCGCCCCCCCCCCAAAAAACGCCAGAGGAGCCGCGCCTCGTCCCCCGCCTATTCGGGATCCACCACAGCGGGGGTGACCCTGACGGGGGGGCACGAATGTGATCCGCTGGTGCACCGACCTGCCGCGCAAGGACGCCCCCCGCACGCCCCAGCTGCCGGCAGCTGCCGGAGAAGCTGCCTGCGGCGGAGGGGGGCATCTGTTTGGGGCGGCTCGGTGCAAGAACCGATCGAATTCTCTCTTTCTCTCTCTCTCTCTCTCTCTCTCTCTCTCACTCACACTCACACACTCACACACACGCACGCACGCACGCACGCACGCACGCACGCACGCACGCACACACACACACACACACACACCGTGGCGACTACACCCCTTCGCGGGCAGCCCGACCCCCCTGGCGCCTTGAACAGGTGCAGCTGCCGGTCCTGGCCGAGGCCGAAGCTCTCGCACCTCTCGCCGCCGCCGCCCGCCGGCCGCCGCCGGCCGCCGCGACAAAACGTGCCGGCCGCCCGCGAGCCCCTCGTCGCCGCCGCCGTCGCCGCCGCCGCGCGCCGGCGTGCGGGCCGCTGGGCGCTCCGGCGGCGGCGCTCACGGGGCGCAGCGGGCCACCCTCTCGGGCGCCCCCTCGGCGAGGCGCAGCTGCTGGGAAGGCGCCCCGAGGCCGGGAGGCCTCGGAGGACGTCCGAGAGCAGCGACGCTCGAGCGCCGGAAACTTCCAAATGCGTCGCTGCCGTCGTCGCCGCCGCCGCCGCCGTGGCCGCTGGTCGTCCTGGTCGCCGTCGCCGTTGACGTCCTCGTCGTCGCCGCCTCAGCCCCGGGTGCTGCTCCACGAGCCTCTTGGCCTGCTTCCGCTGCCCCGCGCTCATGCGAGGCATCTCCAGCGTGGCGCGGCCCTCATCGGCCAAGAACGCGGCGATGAGGGCCTCTATATCGATCTCCTCCAGGGCGACGGAGAGAAAGAGGAGGAGGAGGAGGAGGACGACGACGACGACGTCGACGACGACGTCGACTAGGTTCGAGGTTTTGACCGCTTCGGGTCGTTGTGGGCCTCCATCAGCCTCTGGGGGCCTCCACGGGCCTCCGGCAAATCTCCAGAGCTCTGGAGGCTTCTGCAGGCCTCAGGAGAGGGAGGGGATCAAGGTTATGGGAGGGTCTCGGCCCTTTTGGGCCTCCAGGGGTCTTTCTCCTCATTTTTTTTCTCTCTTTTTCCCTCTCTCTCTCTCGCTCTTCCTCAAAGGACCTCGGGGGATCTACGGAGACCTCTGGGGTGGGAAGATGGAGGGGAGGGAGGGCGGGAGGACAAAGGGGGGGTGAGAGGGAAGAGAGACGGAAAGAGAGACGGAGGACGGAAAAAAGAGACACCGCATCAGGCGGGCCTGTCCCACTGCGGGCACGGGTCGTCAAGGCAACCTGGCGCTGCTCCATGGCACCCTGCAAGTTCAGGCTGCCATCTTCGCAGCACTGGTGCGTCGGGAGCATATCGCACCAGCTCAGTGGCGCGGGCCTCCGTCCCATCAGAGCCCTGAGCACACACACACACTTTTCGCCACACCATCGCCTCTTCGGCTGATTCCGCCGTCAGCCCTTTCGGCGCGCATGGCCTGCAGGATCTCACTGCGCTGCTCTGCAAGCCCAACCACTCAGCAGGCAGTTGTGCAGCGCGCGACGCGACCTGCCGAAATCTGAGGCGCTGCGCAAAACAACAGTTGTCGACGCCCAATGAGAGCATCTGGTCGAACATACCATCCGTGGCTCGTGTATCCCCGTCCACCCAGGACCAAAGATCTCACCACCCTCGCAGCTCTCGAAACATGCGTTTCGATAAATCCAGCAAGTCCTGCGATGACTAGTGAATGGCGGATGACGCAGAAGATGCATGAACATGTTGATAACCTACAAAACAGAAAAAGAGAGAGAGAGAGAGAGTCACTGGAAGGAAAAAAATTAAGACTGCTCGATCTTCGTTGCCCGCGCGTCATTCAACATGTATACCCTAAACCCACGATGTCCGCCCTCTTCGTCTGCGATCGCACCCACTGTGGGGGTATGTCCTCCTTCCCAGCCACGTGCAGTTGGGCGCGGCCCCTACAGCAGGAGGAGGGAGGGGGAAAAAGAGGAAGGGGGAGAGCGCGGACGAGAGGGAGGAAGGGTGGGCCGGGAGGCACGGAGGGTGGAGGAGGGGAGGAAGGGAGGAGAATCGAGGGCCAAGAAGACCCATAGGGGGCCACATGCGAACTCTACCACTACCCCCCACGATTTATGAGGGGGAGGGTGGGATTCACTCCATTCGGGAGCTCCCGAGCGAAGTGAACCCCACCCTCCCCCTCAGAAATCGTGGGGGGGAGGGGTAGGGTTCGAATATGGCCCCCTAACCCAGCACGAAGGTGGAGAATAAAGGCACAAGGAATGCGCCAAGCGGACACCGACGGGCGGGCCGGCCCCAAGGGGGCGGGTCGGGCCGGCGGGGGCACCTTAGACGGGCGTCGGGCGGGCGGGGCACCGCAGCGGGTCGGGCGGACGTCCGAGCACGCGAAAGGGCTGGACCCTGACGGCCGATCCGGTAGAGGGAAACAATTACTGAACACTCCCCCGCCCCCCCCAAAACTCAATGTTGGCACGCGCGGGGGAGACTGCGGCCCCAAGTGCATCTCATCAGACCCACCGCCAACTTCGAACATTGGGGGGAGGGGGAAGCGTTGACGGATGAATGTGGCATGAGTGTTCGCTAATTTGTTCCGAGGCCTGTCGGGCGGGCAGACCATGCCGTTGAAGGAAGAATCTGCGCATCAAGAGCTGGGGGACCACTTCGAATACAACCCCCCCGCACACACCCCCGGCCTTGATATTCGGCAGCTGGTCCCGGAGGTGAGCGGCGGGAAAGAATCGGAACCCAAGATCTCGATCGCAGCGCACTCCGATACTAAGGCCGGGGGGGGTAGGGGGGTAATTCGGTTCTTTGTCGTCGGAGCGTTGCTGATGCTGAAGTTTGTTCCTTCCGCCGCAATATGAAAGTCGGGCGGGGGGACCCTCAGTCGGGTCGGGCGGGCGTGCCCTAGTGGACGGACTTCGCGGGCGCGGCACGGAAGCGAATCTCGCAATTGGTAAAGAAGCATCGGGCGAGAGCACATCCCGAGTGAACTGCCAGAGGACTCGCGCGAGCAGGCGACTCCTGGACGTCGAGAGCGCAGCGCCGTCATAAGCTGCTGCCGGGAAGTCCTAAGAGAGAGCGCGCGATGCCTCCGCACACTGCAAGGATGTCTCGGGCGAGAACGCGACTTCTGAATCCCACCAGCCCTCTGGGCGTGAGCGGTCTAGAGCGTGTCCTCTGCCATCTTCTCTCCTCCCCTTCGGGGAAGGGTTTATCACTGCCCCTATAAATTCAGAAACCCTCCCCCAAGCGACCGGCAGCCAACCAGGAATAATGCGGATCCTATGCTCACACACCCCAACCATCCCTGTCGAAACACATGACAGAACACACTCTGCCTCGAAATTCGGAGCATGCGCAACCAACCTGATGCAGGCCCCCCCCACCATCCCTGTCAGAAAACCATACAAAGTATACACGTTGAAGCAAAGTCTTGAGTCATGTTCGTGAGGCCCGCGAGCACTTCGTATTGTTTTCGATAGGGGCGGCAGTGGTGTCAACACACTGTCTGCTGGGCGCAAGGCCAACATCCTGTCAAAAAACAATACAACGTACTCCAGATTTCGTAATAAAGGGAGGGCCTGGGGGGTCTGGGGACGATGTTCTGGAGGGTTCTCCCACAGGGGAGGTCTGAAATGGCTTGTCTTGGAGGGTCCAGACCCCCTCCCTTTTATTACGAAATCTGGAGTACACCTCGCGGCTAAATCTGGATCGTGCGCGTGGAGCCCTCCGGGATACGATCGGCGGCCAGCCAAGGGAGGGACTTGAGAAGGGGCGGGCCTTCCCAGAAGGCTCGGAAGTCCGCCGACCTTCTGAGAGGTCTCCTAGGCCTCCCCACAGGACGCAGTCGGGCGGGACTTAATGGGGGGGTCATAAACGGGGAGGTCAGAAAAGGTCCCCTTTCGTGCCCCTTTCGAGCCCCTCCGGAGCCCCAGGGGGCTCGTTTAGGTACCGTTTGGGTACCTTTTCGAACCACCCTTGCCACCCCCCCCATTTATGACCCCCCCATTACGCGGCGCCCAACGCAGGAAACTTCCGAGAAGGCCGGAGGGTCTCTAGGAAGCCCCGCCGCCTCCTGGGAAGGCCTCCGCCTTCTCGCCTCCCCCCCCTCGCTCGCCGCCGAGGCTCGACCCCGGTGCGCCCCGAGCGCGGCTCGAGGCGACAGCCCTTCTCGGCTACACGCAAAAGTGACCCTGGGTAAGAGTGACCTTTGGTGCGCGGCTTTTGGGGGGGCCGCGGGGAGACCAAATCTGGGTGCGCAGGCCACTGCTACCGCTTCGTTTCCAGCCATCTGGGGACCCATCTGTGCCCGCGCCAAAGGTCACTCCGGCGAAAGGTCACTCTTACGTGTGGTCGACCTTCAACGCCTCCCCCCCACGCTCGCCGCCGACAGGAGCTCCCCGGCTCCTCCTCCTTCTCGGCGCCGCCCCGCGGCCCCAGCTCCAAGGGAGCCGCCATGCGCTGTCTGTAGCGGGGGGCGGCGCGGCGGCGGGAGCGGGCGCGGCGAGCGCCCCCTCTGAGCTGCGGCCGGTGGAAAAGGATGAGGAAGGAAGGCCGAAAGAAGAAAGGGAGAAGGAGACGGGAGGGGGAGGAGGAGGAGGAGGAGGAGGAGGAGGAGGAGGAGGAGGAGGAGGAGGAGGAGGAGGAGGGCAACGACGAGGAAAAGGAGGAGGGGGGGACCGACGGCACGAGACGGGGGGGAGGGAGGGAGGGAGGGGAGGGCATGGCGGAGAGGGGGGGCTGGGAGACAACCGCGGCAACCGCTGGGAGCCGTCGTCGGAAGGACCAGGGAGGCTGAAGCCCCATTCGGGGGGGGGCTTCCACGCCGATTCGAGGCCCCAGACTGAGCGGGATCCGGCGGGCCCAAGCCAGAGCAAGCGGGATCGAGCCGGATCTCGGACCAGGGCAGCAGAACTTGACCTCCCAGGAATTGCATCCGGAAGGGAGCGGGGGGAGGAGGAGAATTGGATCGGACACTTCGAGACAGGGCTGGGCCTCCCAGCAACGAAGGTCACATAACAGACCCAGCGCCGACCAGCGGCGCAGGGACCCCCATCGACCAACCTGTCAGAAAGACCAACCTACAGAGAGCACCTCCAGCAGCAACATGGTCCCGCGCGGGCTGGAACTAGCTGGCCACACATATGCACCACGACAGCGCGCCAAACCTAGGAGGAGGAGAAGGAGGAGCAGGAGGCGCAGGAGGAGGAGGAGGAGGAGGAGGAGGAGGACGACGACGACGAGGAGGAGGCGGAGGAGGAGGAGCAGGAGGCGGAGGAGGAGGAAGGCGCTACTTCTCGACGCGGGGGGGGGGAGGGCGGTCGGGCCGCGCTCAGCCCAGCCCGCAGAGAGGAGGCGCCCAGGCGTGGCGCCCGTCCGGCCATGTCGGACGGAGCCCGCGGCAAACTCTGCCGCCGCTGCCTCCGCCGTCGCCAGCGCCAACTGCTGCGACGGCAAGCGCACGCACCACCAGGCCGAGACGGTCTACGAGACACACGCCGGCTGGAAACGGCCGAGATCGACCCAAGATCGTGGAGACTTTCCAGTGGTTGCCGCGCGCCGGTTGGCGCACACCGCGCGCAAGGGGGGGCAACCTTCGGCGAGGGACATTGCTGTCCTCCTGGCCTACCCCATCTGCAACCACAACCATTCGCGCCACAACCACCCGCGCGACTTGGACAAAAATACCGAATACAGCAAGCACAGCGCCGCACACACTCGGGAGATCCACCAGAACATGAGCGTCCAGACTGGTCCCGCTGCCCCTTCGCCGCCTGCCTGTCAGCCCAGCATCTGGACGTACATTTACGAGTCCGCCGCCCACCTCGGCTACGGCCACCACCATGGCTAACCCCAGGCCGACGTGGCACGAGAGGCCGCCCAACGCGACCATCGCGAAGGCACTTTCAGCTTGCGCTTATGTGCGCTTGCGGAGAGGCGCCCACATTCGTCCCGTCCCTCGATCTGCAAATCCTGCCGAGGGCGAGGCGGGCCCCCCCCCCCGCTTGAACCGCGCTCTAGCCGCGCCCGCTTGCCAATGCGCCCGATTCGCGGGAAGGGCCCGGGGTCGCCGCGCTCTCTCTTGCGAGGCGCCGCGCGCGCGCGGCGCCCCCCGCCCAGCCGTCAGCCCCCTGGCCTGCCCTGGCCCAGACCAGCCCCGAGCCGGGGCAGCAGCGGCCGCCCCAGCCTCCCCGCCGCTGGGAGCCCTGGCCGCGCTGGGCACCTTCGGCGCGCTGGCACCCTCGGCACGCTGGGCACCCGCGGGCACGCTGGGCACCGTGGGCGCGCCTGGGGGCCCTGGACACGCCGGCCGGGAGCCACGAGCAGGCTGCGAGCACGGGGAGCCCGGCGAGGGCGGCGCCTCCGCACTCGCCGCGGGGCCGCGCCGACGCCTGCGCCAGCGGCGCCTCGCCAGCGGCCAGGGCTACACTGGCGGCTGCGCCAGCGACTGCGCCCTCGACCCCGGAGGGCGTGGCGGCGGCTGCCGGTGACGTCGGGTCGGAGGTGGAGGCCCTTGCCGTCGAGGAGGGCACGATGCAGTAGGGGCCCGACCACAAGAAACCTTCCACAAAAAACCTAACCCTGAGACCCCAGGACGTCCATCGACTCTTGGTGTGGGAAGGTCGCGCCTTCCACAGCAAAACCACCGGAACCCTAGAAGCCCAGGGCACCCAGGAGGCAAGCGGGGTGTTTCTTGGCATGGCCCTCCACTGCACGATACGACTCTGCATTGAAGAGGATGAAAACTCCGCAGGCACACCATGCGAAAGCAGCTTGAAAGGGGGCAGGCTGAAAGGGGGCAGGGACGAAAGTGCCGCGGCCACGAGGGGGCGGAGGAGGTGGAGACAGATCCTGGTGGCTGCCTGCAGGGTTCTCCCCCACAGCCTTGGCAGAACTTCATCCACGAAGACGCCGACGCAGACGCCGACGCCGACGCCGACGCCGACGCCGACGCCGACGACAACGACGACGACGACGACGACGACGACGCGGACGCCGACGACGCCGACGCCGACGCCGACGCCGACGACGACGACGCCGAAGGCGACGAGGACGACGACGACGACGACGACGACGACGACGACGACGACAACGCCGACGCCGACGCCGACGCCGACGCCGACGCCGACGCCGACGCCGACGCCGACGCCGACGCCGCCGACGCCGACGCCGACGCCGACGCCGAACGCCGACGCCGACGACGACGCCGACGCCGAGGCCGACGACGACGACGACGCCGACGACGACGCTGACGCCGACGCCGACGACACGAAGGCGACGACGACGACGACGACGGCGACGACGACGACGACGAGGACGCCGACGACGCCGACGAGGACGACGACGACGCCGACGCCGAGGCCGACGACGACGACGACGACGCCGACGCCGACGCCGACGCGACGACGCCGACGACGACGACGCCGACACCAAAGCCGACGACGACGACGACGACGACGACGACGACGACGACGACCACGTCGACGCCGACGACGACACGACGCCGACGCCGACGCCGACGCCGACGACGACGACGACGACGCCGACGCCGACGCCGACGCCGACGCCGACGCCGACGACGACGACGACGACGCCGACGACGACGCTGACGCCGACGTCGACGACGACGAAGGCGACGACGACGACGACGACGACGACGACGACGACGACGACGACGACGAGGACGCCGACGCCGCCGACGAGGACGACGACGACGCCGACGCCGACGCCGACGCCGACGCCGACGCCGACGCCGACGCCGACGACGACGACGATGACGACGACGACGACGACGACGACGACGACGACGACGACTCCTTCAGCACGCTGCAGGCGGGGAGCACAGGTGCACGGACACCGCCTGCGGCGCGTGCGCCTTGGCGCAGGGCGAGGCCTCGCGGCCGCTGCGGCAGCGCCAGGGGTCCGCCTGGAGGGCGCATCGGCGGCCTCGCCGTCGCCATCCTCGATCCCCAGGGCCTCGATATCCTCGAACGTCGAGCCTCCACTCGAGGCTCGGGATTCGAGGGTGCAGGTTCTGCCTCCGAATGTCGTCATCGTCCTCCTCATCCTCCACATCGCCTACTCCGTCCTCGTCCTTATTATGATGATGTGTGTTGCTCTGACTCTGCGTACTAGTACAATCATTCTTCTGATGTTATTAGTACTCTCATTAGTATTCTTAGTATTATTCGTACTCTTCTTAGTATTAGTATGAGTGGTCGTGCTTGTCTCGTCACTAGTATTATTATGTACGCCATTGTATCATTGATATCCGTATTAGTCTGGATAGTGTTATTGTTACTGTTCGTCGTCGCATTCGTATTTTGATGGTTAATATTACTATGATTCGCATTATTATTTAAGTATTATCCGTGTTATGCTTGCTAATAATGATGCTCGTATTTCTTCTTAGCGTTCGTACTCGAATTATTATCCTTAGTATTTGCAGTACTGTTGTTATGCTTGATACTCGTCTTACGAACAATCGTATTATCAGC